GTTTCTATGTGCTGCACTGTCAAGGGCAGAGAGCTAACTGAGGAGCAGTTAGATCAGTCTTTACCTGGCAGCAGCAGCTTCCACGAGAGGCACAGGAGCCTGGAGCACGAGCCTTGTCAGCCTTAGTAACATTATCTGCTGCTGCCTCTGAGTCAACAGTCAAGGTAACAACCTTAAAATTACCTTTAAAGAAGTCCCTTCCTAGCAAGTCTCTGCAGCCCTCCAAGCTTCCTGCAATCAGCTTTGAAAATGTTTCCACTCCCACTTTTCTCTGCTGATCTCAGCAAAATGCTGGCTGCTGTGGCAGGGAAGTGAGCACCCCTGCCTGCTCTGCTGCCTCTTGGCCAAAGTGTACCAAGCCCAACAAAGCCAGCCTTCTGTACTCAGCGTCCAGCATTCACATACGTGGGGCTTGTGCCAGCTGCTTTCCCCTAAGGCGAGGGCATGCATGTGTCCACCCAGGAGCACTTCAGAGACAGCACTGCTGCCGGCTTCCCCCTCCTTGTGAATAAGTCAGAAAGCTGGCAATTCACACACATACAGAAGTCCCATGGGTCACACCAATACATTTTGGTGAGATATTTTATTTGATGTTGAAGGTGCAAGGTTTGAGTTAAGTATGCCTGTTTATTTTTTAAGATTTAAGTATTACCTTTTAGTCAAGGAACGTGCATAGTTACATAGTGCTACAAATGCATGGTTGCTCAAAATGAGGCTGCAAGCTGTTATTCAACATTCTCTTATGAAATGTGAACTATCAGTAGAAATGAAAAATTAAACTATGAAAATCAATGAGCGCTCTACATTGATATTACTTGTCATAAGCACTGGGGCTACAAAACATTTGTCATGCAAATTACATACAAATATACTACAACACAGAGTAATTGTTCTCGTCTTTTCCACTTACCTTCATTTATTGTATGAAAATTCACCCTTCTGTGGAGTAAAGTAATTATAGGAAGGATGAATTTTGTCAATGTAAGACCTAAGCTTCACTACTCTAAGTATGTAATGTTACGGTACTCGAGTCAAAACAGGTATTGTTATTCCAAGATATGCTCCAGTGTCACAGCATAAAATAGACTCTGTTATGTAGTTTCATGGTAAATATTCTCAAATTTGAGTGCTTTATTATGTCTGCAACACAAGTGTGTGTTGATCTCCAGTTATCGTAATTTCTGAAGACTGTCAGAGCACTTCAGTGAATGGCACAAACAGAATTGAACTGTTTTACTTAGGAGTAGTGATATCATAATATTTTAAATGATCCAGAAACCATACTGATACTTGTCAGATGGCAGACAGCTGGTAACAGTAATTGTGCTGCCAGGTGAGTATTTGTAGGGCACCCTTTCATTAAATATTATGAACCCAGAATTAGGCTGACTGCATGGTGCTTGTTTTTTAAAGTTTCGGGTAACTCTTTGAGATGTCAATATAAGAAAATAAGAAAAAAAAATGTGGTTTTTGAAGATTTGCATTGAGTTATTCTACTACTGCAGTGTTATATTACTAGAATACTTTTACTTGTTGTGTCAGTGGTTTGAAAGTGAGAGTATTGACTGGGAGGACCTTCTTATTAACTCTGCTTCTGACAGCAAATCCTTTTGTGGATGTAGGCAAGTCTCCAAATCTCTCCTCTTCTATTTTCGTTCTTCAAAAATAGCGATTGTCCATAAGAGCTGTTTTATGGTATTGTATGCTATGAGTGTCCAAAGCAAGGAGCACAGCAGCAGCGTGTGACTGCAATAATTAACTGAGGTGTCAGAACGCAACAATCAATTGTTTCTAGTGGTAAATGGACTCAGTGAAGCTGTGTGGCCCCCAGAGGATACAAATGGCTGATTTGAGGAAACAGCAGGTTCAGCCTTGAAATGAAACCCAGTAAAGCTGTGTGGCACTGTTCTGATGCTCTTTGAGGGAATGAGCCGGACTAGGTACCCTGTTCTTGTGTTTGCATGGTGCTTGAAACATCGTAGTTTGGCTGCCTGGCATGTCCTTTTGTCTTTACTCTTGAAACAAAGGTAGAGCTTCAAAAGAGGAGCAAAAGCAACATTGCAAAGAGCTATGTGCAAACTGCCGTGCAGCCTATGGCACACTGTGGGACTTGGGCAGAACGTCACTATGGCAGCTTGGACATGAGCACATGCCATTTGGAAAGCTCCTGTGTCCTGATAATTCTTTGTGTCCCAAAGGCACAACGTCCATCTGTGCAGTGTCCTGTCTCTGGCAGTGGCCCAGGAAGCAAGAGACAGGCTCCTCTAGGCTTCTCTGCAAGATGGACTTACAGTCTGACCCCATATGGCAGCTTCTGTGTCCGTATGGAGGGCTGAGGCCTGGGCGCCACAACAAGGTTTGGCCTCTTCTTTCCTGTCTCAGTCACGATAGCTTACTTTGCTTCCCTGGCATGAATATGGTCTCTGAGACCAGAAGCTGCTGTAGACGTCTGGGCTTTTTGCTCTTTGAGGCTGTTCCTGCAGCTCACAAGTGTCAGATTCTGGCAGTGCATGTCTAAATACAGCCCTTTTTCCATGGCTCTAACGTATGTAGAGCTCCTGGAACAAAATCCTAAGGTATTAAGATGAATGTTAGAAGGAGCATGTTGAGGAGTGTAAAAGAAGGGATGAGCTCAGGAGACACAACTGAGAGCTGTGGGCTGGACATCTGGTGCAGCACCCTGCGTTTTGTTGCCTTTGGAGCCCAGATGCTAGGCAGATCTGAGAGCAAAGTGACAGCATAGTGTCTGGCAGAGGCTGAGACCAAATGGCTGAGTCTTCTTCTGCAAGTGTCAGGCATGGCTGACCTCCGATCATGTACCTATGTTATTGTTTATGCATTCCATGTAAATAAATACCTGTAACCCAGGTATGTGATTCTACAATTCTGTGATTCTGTGATCCAGTATTGGAAGAGATGCAGTTTATAAACTGGGTAAATCCAGAATCTAGATGAGGTGTGTCCAACTCACAGCCTATGGGCTGCGTGTGGCCCTGGAAAGCTAGTAATGCAGCCCCACAAGATCACCAGCTTTTAACATTATTACGTATTTGATTAGTGTGTCTGCCAGATCCAAAAGTTCCTCACAAGTATGGATGCTGATTTTGGGGACTTAATTGACTTTTCTGAAGTAAGTTGGCTAAGCTGGGGTAAAACGCTAAAGAGATTTTATGATGTGCTAAATGAAATCAAGTCACTTATGGAATCAAAAGGAAAATTTACACCAGAACTTGAAGATGAAAGCTGGCTCACAGATATAGCATTTTTTGTGGATTCGATTGCTTGTTTAAATTAGTTAAACATGTGTTTTCAAAGTGAAAATCAATTTATCTGTGCTAAGTTTCAAACCATAACAGCGTTCAAAATGAAACTCAAATCATGACAAGCTCACTGTATGGCAAATAATTTTATGCATTTTGATACACTGGTCAAACACAATCTTGGGTGCTGCAAAAAATAGGCAGCTGTGCTTTCCAGTATGGTAAAGGAATTTGAGGATAGGTTTCAGTAATTCAAAATATACAAAAACATCATTGTTTTTGTATATTTGCAACTCCATTTCATACAACCATCATAGAATCATAGAATGGCCTGGGGTGAAAAGGACCACAGTGATCATTGAGTTTCAACCCCCCTGCTATGTGCTGGGTCGCCAATCACCAGACCAGGCTGCCCAGAGCCACAGCCAGCCTGGCTTGAATGCCTCCAGGGATGCATTCAACGCATTTTCAGTCAACAAAAATACATTACCTGTGAATTTTCAAATGGTATGCATAGAGTTGCAATCAGACATTCAACTCAAAGAAAAGAATGATGTTTCTTTACCAGACTTCGATAAGCCCGCTCTTACCAGAAGAAGATAGCCCTCACTTCACAGTCACTCCTTATTCACAACACCACTTTTGGCTGTATGTACACTTATGAAAAACTGTTTTCAAGGATGCAGCATAGGAAGAGTAAAATTAGGTCAAAAATCTCTGATGAACACCTTCAGAACTCACTAAGAATTGTGACTACTACCATCAATCCAGATACTAATGCATTGGTTTCACTAAAACAAAGTCAAAATACCTCTAGCTTTATGTTTTTGTTACCACCTTCTTTTTATGTTTTAATAAAAATACCTAAAAAAAATTTTTTTTAATGATATACATTGAGTATATTATATATTGTATATGTGGCCCAAAACAATTCCTCTTCACTCGGTGTGGCCCAGGCAAGCTAGAAGGTTGGACACCCATGATCTAGATCCTTCACAAAAAGGTCAACTGTGGGAAGTCATTTCTGTGGAACAAGGAGCTGAGTGAAGGCAGAGAAAATGCAGCCAAAACTTCTACAGCAGCTGTGTGGGATCCTGCAGCAGTAATGCAGGGAGTGCTCAGGGGAGCTTTTCCACAACTCAGCAGTGGAGCAGGCAGTGCACGCTGGGACCTGGACCAGCTCCATCTAGCTGTTGCATTTCACACCGCTAGTAAGAGGCAGCTTCAGCACCAGCAACTGCACAGACGTTGTGCTGCTGCAGCAGGCTGCAGGCACGCTGTGTTCGCCAGCAACCTGGGATTTGCTCTTGGTGTCAAAACAGGTTGTAATTAAGACTTCTGTTCATTATGTTAGAAATGATTTTTGGCCGAGTGCCTGTTCCCAAACCTCGCGTATCCGGGCAAAGGAGAGGAAGCGGAATGCAGGAAGCGTCTGGGACACCGTGTCTGTGGTGCCTGAGACGGAGGAAATGCACAGGTCTCGTTTTTCTGCTGCCCATGGCTCTGAAAGACACAAGCAGTGTCTTTCCAACACTGAGGCAGATCTGAGTGAGGGAGCTAAGTCTGCTCTAGGGACCAGCAGCTCCTCATGGCGTACAGGGTTGACGTGGTCCTCTTCTGAGCCTACAGCAGGGACAGGAGAGGGACAGGATGTTTGGATACGAGTGTCCAAGGCTCACTGCAGGCGGCTATGCTCAGATTTCAGTCCCACCAAACACCTCTATCCTTTTCTTTTTCTAGTGTCCAACAAGCACCATTTTATGGACAGCAATTTGCTTTACCAGTGCAGGATGAATTTCCGCCGGCGGCGGCGGCTGATGGAGCTGCTCACCGAGAAGTCTCGCCTGGTGCCAGAAAGCCACGACAGCCCCTTTTGCCTGCGCAAGCAGAACCATGACAACAGAAAACACACCAGTTTTCTGTCAGGTGACTCATCAGCTGCACTGCTCTCTGTAGAGTGACTGCATGGGGTGTTAAACGTCCTCCAGCATCCTTTCTGTGCGACGGGTTTCACTGTTAACCTGAAAACAGTCATGTATCCCTGTTTGCAAGGATTATCTCAGTTTACCCAATTTTTAGCTCTTGGCGTAGCTTTTGCTCTGATACCAATAGCACCTCAGTTGTTGATCAAAAATCAGTGTCCTGAGCAAATAGAATGTGTTAAAATCCCCGCAAGCACAAAGTAATTTGCCCTGTATATTCTATGCTGGTTTTGAGAAAAATAAGGGGAAGGGGGCCTGCAGTGTTTGCTGCACAGAAATATCAAGCAGGAACTGAAAGAATAAGTGGGAAATTGAATAACTTTTTCCCTATATTGAAATGCCTCCTAGAAGATCCTGCAGTAGGAGCAGTTTGGCCATCGTGTTGGCTAAGGTGTTACGATATTCATGCAGTGACCCTTCTGTGTGTAACACATTACCCCTTAAGAGTGAATGGCTTATTGCTGGTGTCTTAAGGAATCCAAAGGAACTGAGTTCAGTAATTGACACCGGTTCCCTTTCCCCCCGCGTTTTTGCAGTGAGCCCCACCAAGGAGATAAAGATCGTGTCGGCGGTGCGGAGGAGCAGCATGAGCAGCTGTGGCAGCAGTGGGTACTTCAGCAGCAGCCCCACGCTCAGCAGCAGCCCCCCGGTGCTCTGCAACCCCAAGTCCGGTAAGCACCAGCATCAGCTTCTGATGCACAGGAGATGGGTACAGGGCATCTGTCTGGGAGAAGAGGATGTGAGGAATGCTCAGTGTCTCGCCTAACTTTATCTTTTCAAGGGTAGATTAAAAATTCACTGCATCATGAGTATGGGGGGAGGGGCTATTAGCATCATCCAGCCTTGCTGAATGCAAGCCAGACATCTGCCTCCTGTAATCTCAGCACCAAGCCCATAATTGTGGCTGGAGCTGCAGTTTATCTCCTAGGAGGACATGCAGCCAGAGAGCCAGCTTCGCCTCTGCACTGCCAAGCCCTGGGCCAACCCAAACCTCCTCCTTGAGACATTCCTTTGGTGTAAGTCATGGGAGTGTTTAACTGTCCAGTGGCCACAGGAGTTGTTATGAAATAACACAGCTCAGAACACAACAACATCTAGAGCTGGAGGAAGTGTTGTTAGTGCCTGTCTGATGCCATTGCAGTGCTTTCCTTTGTTTAGGTCTTACACAGGTCTGTTTGGGAAGGTAGACGTAGTGGTGAGGCTTGCTTTCTTTTTAAAAGGATTTCCTACCCCACACAGGAAGGTTAAATGCACCCATTCTTCCACAGCTTGGTTAAAATTGTTTCTCATTGTACATCTGTGAAGGAGAAAACAGACTGCAATAGATATTGTTTCAACTCCTATGTTTCCCTCAGGAGGTGCCCTGAGGTTCAAAGCCCATGCTGCCCTTTGTGCTCCTTGTTATTTTGGATTCAGAATGAATGTCCCCGTTCTGCTCTGAGTGGAGGCGAGCACACAACTGGTGGGCAGGAGATCATTTTGGGGCTTACTGTGTGTTTGGATGTGGGGACTCTTCTGTCACTGTGTGAGGCATTTGGGGATTGGTCTGTCCTTCAGGAAGTGGGAAGGCAGGGGTGCTGCATGGGCAGAAGCATGCAGTGAAAGGCTGGCTGCTGCATCACTGCTGAAGCAGTGTGGGGAGCATTGTGCATAGGGAGAGGCTTCAGTGGATGCATATCTGTGTTGCCTTCAAAGTAGTGCTGCCATTTAAAGTCACTGCTAACAGTAAACTGCTGCTGGGCATTCAGTGCCACCTTCCCACATGTTTGTTCCTCTATTAAAAGTGCCACAGCATTATGTCTTGGCAGAATATCTCTCAGGTATGTTACCAGAAAGGCTGTGACAGTGTAGGTAGTCTGAACCTTTGGTCCCAGTACACCATTAATTACATCCTGGAAGCATTTCTGGGACACACAGAGCAGCATTCATGTGCTCTCCATAAACGTGTGTGATATCTGAAGCATGTCAGCTATTCCATTCACTTTTGGCTTAATTATATGTGAAGTGTCAACCCATGCGTAGTGAGAACAAGTTTATTTTAATGCAACTGATTCTACAACACTGGAAGAAAAAGAAGCTGATGTTGCCCTTTCATAAATTATTATTTTTTTAAAACACAATCTGCCTTAGGGTAATTCCTCTTGTAGCACAAGAACAGATCCACACATCACCTCACATAGGTTAGCATAAGGCTTGCAGATGTAAATGTTACGGAGGAATTCTTAATCCTCTGCTGGAGTATAAAACGAGTTTTTCACCAACAGTTTCCTGCTACCCAGAACCAGAGCATGTTGCTGAACTGCATGTTAATAAATAGAAAACAGAGGCGTCTTGTCAGATGAGTTCATGGCAGGGAAATCCTTTTATAAAAACAGATCATGACTTGACCAGTCATGTAGGAAAACAATTACCAAACAAGGTTTCTGAGGGTATAATGAAGGAAAGCATGCAAGGGTGTCCTGAGTGGATGGTTTATCTGATGCTGATTTGTTGACTGAAGACAGTCATCCAGGCTTTTTAAGTTAAATGGACATGCTTTGTAAATTGTAACTGGCTAAATGACCACTTGCCAAAATCCATGGGGAAGAAAAAAATGACATATCTGTTTGTACACAGTCATTCTTCCTACTTCCATGATCATCATTAAGAAATTCATGAATGTCTCAGAATACAATCTGGGAGAAATTTTAACTTTGATCTGTGGCTTAAAAGGCAGGCGTCATCAAAATCATTAATTACTATAGGAAATCAATCCTAATTTGGAAGGTGAGGTAGGCAAATGCAGTGAACTGTATATGTCTTTCCATTGCCTTCCATCTTGTAAAGCATGTACAGACAGATAAGAATGATATGCAGAATGGTATTGCTTTGGTTTGACATAACTTTACATTTAGTTTATTTAGGGGAAAAATACTCCATTGCACAATGAGGTAGTGCAGAATCACTTTCAGAAAGTACTGGTAAATCACAGCCAGCTATAGACTGACTGGGCTCTGTCTGGATAGGAGGGCATTGAATGTCTGTGCTTACAATTGCAGAAACCTCTTTGTTGGGATAATTCCTGAGCCAACCAGCAGCAGTGTTGCACCACAAAGCCAACATTCCCAGTCTTCTGCCAGGGAAAATCCCCTCTCATTCCTAAACAAAACAAACAAACAAAAAAAGGTTGGTGGAAAAAGTAGAGATTTGGAAGTGACAAGGACTTCTTCTTGTTTTGGGAAGAGAAGGACAGATTACCAAGCTTTCTTGCATGCAGTATGACCTGTCTGAATTTTCTTGTTACTGAATTCTTGGATTCCAAACTGACTCAGATGAAATGTGTGAGAGAGCCTAAAAGAAAAGCTGCTTCATGCCGTGGAGGTTGGCCACTTGTTTCAACATTGGGCACAAGAACAGCCACTTGTAATGCTTGTGGTCGTGTTCAGTGGATGCTGATTGCAGACAACAAAGTTTGTTGCCTGAACACCCCTGTTTTCCAAAGATCTCATCATTAGTGCTCAGAGTTATTCTGCAGACTTTTCCTTGGCTCATCTGCTTATTTCGAGTAAGACTTCAAGAACTAAAGTGTTCATGGGATGTGGGACAGAAGGACATTATGTTCCAACATTGTGTCTTATTTATGAGGAGAAGCTCCAGATGAATGTTTATATTGAATATTTATTTATGTATCTCTACAGTATTAAAGAGACCGGTGACTGCTGATGAGCTTTTGATGCCTGGAGCTCCATACGTCAGGAAAACTTTTACAGTATGTCTCTGGTCTTTGTTTCTGTGCATTGTATGCCTAAGGTAATCCAAACAGACATTTTCTGAGGGGATAATTAGTGCTTATTTGCACTTGCTAAGGTTTGTACTTTTAAGTCCTGAAATGTGTTATCAGTACTGCCACACATTTCAGGTCTGATTCTGTACTTGTTTATCCTGTCTTTATGTCATTGTAGTACTGCTGACTTAAATGGGTTGTGAAATTACATAAAGACACTAATATTTGTATTATGCAAACTCATCTAAACTTTGTGCTCCTGGTACACTGTAGGTGTGGATTAACTACCCAAACTGAAGTTTTTTTCTCAGATGTACTTTTTCTTAGACTGTGATGGGAAAGAAATTTTGATTCAGTATTAGAGAAAATCTTTGCAAAAAGACAGTTTTGTACCTGGTCAGTCAGTGGAAAGCATTGCATTTTGCGGCCTCCTACTTCAACAAAGGGAAAGTTTGTTGAAAGCAAAAGGCATAGTGCCTTTCCCATATCTTATATAAGAGACTGTGCACAGTTTTTTGATAAAATGTTATCATACAGTGTCCAGTAAAAAGGAGTTGTCCTGAATTTAGATGTATCAGAGTGCTAGCAGTGCTCACCTCCTTCTTTTCTCTTTCAAGATCGTTGGCGATGCAGTTGGCTGGGGCTTTGTGGTGCGGGGCAGCAAGCCATGCCACATTCAGGCTGTGGACCCCAGCGGGCCGGCAGCTGCAGCTGGCATGAAGGTGCGTGCTCAAAGAGGGATGCTTTACTGTGGTGTTTGGGCTTCTTGGTGAAGGTCTTGGGCTGCTTGTATTTGGACGTGGGAGGTATTCTTGTTTCCTGGGCTGAGTGCCTTTCAGGTTTAAGTGTTTATAATCATTCAATTCAGTTGCCTTTTTCCTCTCTTCATACTTCATTTTTTTCTGTCCTTGAGGTTCTTCATAGAATTATAGAATGGTTTGGGTCTCTAAGATCAGCTAGTTCCAACCTCGCTGCTGTGGGCAGGGATAACTTTCAGTAGAACAGGATTTTCCAAGTGTCCCATCCAGCCTGGCACTGGAAAACTCCAGAGGTGGAAAGTCTTCAAGTCACTTTTCCCTGTGAAACTCACCTCTTCTTTCCAAGTGGCTTTCTTGCTCTTTTTTTCTTTTTTTCTTTTCTTCTATGCTTTTGTTATTTTTACCTCTTTCCAACTCTGTACAGATTCTAGTCTCCCTGCCCTTTATTATTTTCCTGTATACAAAGATGGAGCCAGAAATACAATATAAGAAGGGGACAGACTCTTTAGCGGGGTCTGTGGTGAGAAGACAAAGGGAATTGGTTTCAGTCTAAAAGAGATGAGATTTACGTTGGATATAAGGAAAATGTCTTTTACAGTGAGGGTAGTGAAGCACTGGAACAGGTTGCCCAGAGATGAAATGTCCCTGGAGGCATTCAGGGTCAGGCTGGATGGGGCTCTGAGCAACCTCATATAGCTGTGGATGTCCCTGTTCATTGCAGGGGAGTTGGACTAGATGACTTCTAAGAATCCCTTTCAAATCTATGGATTCTTTGATTCTATGAAAATAATTGCTACACCTACTCCAGTGTCCAGGCTGCAGTAAGCAGCTTACATGATGTTTTCTTGTATCATAAAACTAAAAATGAAGCTTTCACATGTACTCCATGAGTAGATCAGTCTCCCCTTAATTTTATCCTGCCTTCTAATCCATCTCTTCTTCCCATCTCACTCACTCATGTATTCCCACCCATTTGGCATATGCTTCCTGATCTGCTCATTGCACAATGCGGGATGCACCATAGCATCCTCTGCAAGCAATGTACAATGGGAGTTTCTCCCCTTTGGGCACTGATTTTTTATGAAACTTGCAAGAATGTTCTGTCTTTGAAGCTTTTACTTCTTTTGAATAAGGGCAGCAAAAACCTTTGGAGGCTGCAGAGCCTGTTGGTACAGGCAGCACCTGACACATTGTGTTGGCAAACAGCTCGATTCGTAAGGGAACTGGATTTTTCAATATGTTTTATAAAATACATAAATTAAACACGCTTTTACAATTTTCATATGAAGGATATTGTTTTTGAAAAGTAATCTTGTCTAAAATATACAGGGCTTAAATTTAAAAATGGTAAATGTATTCATGTGTGTGTTCTAGTTTCTGAAATTGGGAATATTAGTGATTTACATCATCTTCTAGGCTCAGAATTTAGGACCCAGCACTAGATCAGGTCTGTTGTGAAACTTGACTCATAAAAATAACACTGTAGTGCCTTAGGTATAATCTTAGAGATTTTGCTTCTGAACTTTGCAGCTTAGAGCTACATTTAGAGTTGAATATAGTTACTGTACCTTGGAAGTGTTCAAGAAACATTTAGGTGTTGTACTAAGGGATGTGGTTTAGCAGGAAAATATTAGTGGTAGGTGAATGATTGGACTGGATGATCTTGGAGATCTTCTCTAACCTGATGATTCTATGATTCTATGTACTGGGCTTTGGGTTTGTTTTTGCTTTTGGTTTTGTGCTGACAGCCCTGTAACTATGCAGTAGTTGGACATTTGACTTAAGACAGGTTTTGTTTGTGTATTGCACCTCTGGAATTGGTTTTATTTGACAAACCATAGAATCGTAGAATCACTCAGTTTGGAAAAGACCTTAAAGATCATCGAGTCCAACCACAACCTAACCATACTACCCTAACTAACAACCCTCCACTAAATCATGTCCCTGAGCACCACATCCAAACGGTTTTTAAACACATCCAGGGATGGTGACTCAACCACCTTCCTGGGGTGACTATTCCGGTGTTTGACAACCTAAACTTACCCTGGCACAACTTGAGGCCATTTCCCCTCATCCTGTCACCTGTCACCAGTGAGAAGAGACCAACCACGCTCTCGCTATAAGCACCTTTCAGATGTTGGAAGAGAGCAATAAGGTCTCCCCTCAGCCTCCTCTTCCCCAGACTAAACAGCCCCAGTTCCTTCAGTCTCTCCTCATAGGATGTGTTCTCCAAGCCCTTCACAAGCCTTGTTGCTCTTCTTTGGACCTGCTCCAGCCCACTCTTTGTGCAATCTCTGATGGGATTACAGCGGTCAACCTGATCCATTCACAACATAAGAATGTAGAAGACTGCCCTGTCCTGGTGCGAATAAATGGTATTTTAGACAGTAAAACTGGAGTATATCACCCTGATTTTGCATGAAGGGTAGATCTGATTATTTGCAAAGGTGCTATCTTTGTATAAAACACTTTGTGAGAACAGAATTGTGAGTGGAACATTCTGGCCATGTATTAGAAGACACCAAAGTTGATGTTGCATTTTTAAAAATGCCTTTAGCTCCAGATGAAGGTATGTCAGTTTCCTTTGAAAATAAGGTGTTTTTTTTTTTTAATGTTTCAATTGCAGTAGATATGTAAATTATAGTTCAGTATTTGCTTTTTTTAAATCTATGTCTCTTAATCCATCTGTTTATAGCACTTTCAATTTGGCAGATTTAAAGGAGTCATATGACCATGACAGTTCCTTGAACATAAAACTTCCTTTGGGTGGAAGCTGCAGGTGGGGCACTGTGAAGGCAGGCTGTTGGGCATGGTAACTCCTGGTGGCCTGGAGTTGGAGGCTTTTGTCTGCCAGTCCTGCTCTGAGCATGGCACCAAAGAAGCTCTAACATGGAAAGTTGGCTATGATGAAAGGGCAAGAATTTGAAGAAGAGCCAAGTCTTGGCGTTGCAGTTTGTAGAAAAGTTTTTGGCAGTAGCAGCAGGGTTTTTCCTCCTAAGGAGATGAATCCAGCATAATCATTTCTGGAAGCATCTTTGTTTGTAAAGCTTATGATATTTTTTACTTATCTCTCTTGGATAGCATTATATTCCTGTCTTTGCATTATGCTGGACAAATTGTTCCAAGAGGACTGCTGCCTGCCATCTCATTGTAGCATCTCACTTTGTGCACTTTAAAATTCACTGTAGGTTATATAAAGCAGTAACTGTTCCAGGATTAATCTACCTGAAGGACTCTGTGGTGTCCTGCTTTCAGTCTGGGCTTGGCTGGGATCCCGGCCTGTTCCAAAGCTCTGTGAATGGAAAGTATCAGCAGAAATTTCAGTGAGATTGGGTTGGAACACTTGGCCACATGCAATGATCTTGTGTTCCCCATCGGGCAGAGTGGCTGGGATGCCTGGGTCTCCATAATTATAGTCATCAAATCACAGAATATCCCACGTTGGAAGGGACCCGTAAGGGTCATCAAGTCCAATTCCTGGCTCCATACAGGACCACACGAAAATAGAATCACATAATATCCCGAGTTGGAAGGGACCCATTATGCATACACGTGCTGGTGTGGAAGCACTCAGCTCCACATTACATCAGCAGCCTCTTCAGGGTCACTGTTAGGGCAATTTAACTCTGAGAAAATTACAAGCACAGCCTACTGAAGAGGTGTAAGCAGATATTAGCTTCGTGATGTGAAGCCTTTACAGGCTTCTTCTGGGCCTGTGAAGTGGGACTGCCATTTACAGCTTGTGGTTGAAGCGGTGCAAATAATTTAATAAATATGTTGTCAATTATCTTTATAAAAGTATTTTTAGACCTGATCTGTTGAAGTGCAGTTGCCTGTGGCAGCGTTGGAGGAGCGTAACGGCTGTAAGCGCATTAGTGAGCAGAAGCTGGAGGCGATGCAGGGCTATGAAAAGAATCAGTGTTGCAATGCACACGTCCAAGTTATTTGTAGCTCTGTTTTACTGTCTGCTGTCGTCAGCAGACTGAGAAGGGGAGACAGGAACAGCAGGGGGTTCCAAAGTTGCTTTAATGTTCCTGATTGGCTGGCTGCAAAATTCAGGTCTCTGCTAAATATTGCCGGTTGTTGTGAGGAGAACTCTTGTCCCTCTTTTCTCTCTTTTATCTTTAAGCTTATCTCTGGTTTTAAGGTTCAAGTATTTTTGAAAAGCTAGTTTTGAAAAGGCTTGACTTCAAACCGATGGCTGAAGTTGTACGTTACACGTTGTTCTTTGGTGTGCCATCACTGCAGCAGGGTGTGAGCTGTGCAGCAGCCCAAGCTCGGTGGGAGGCCTTGGAAAAAGACACGTTTACTGTTAACTTTGCTGATGGCCTGTTCGTCCTTTTGGCTGGAGAAAGCACTGACCCATTCTAACCTTTGCAGAACGCTAAAGAATATCTAACTGCTTAGATTGATAATAAACAAATAATGTTTGTAGGTGTTACACATAAGGCCTTTGTATCACATACATTTCCAATGGCCACTCAATCCCTTTTACCCTACTCAAGTAGGGTACTAACTTTCAGTTAGTAGCAGGAGGTTTTGAGGTGTATGTATTGGTTGGTCACCAGTCCTGCTTCTGCTCAGAGGGTTTCTGGACACGGCCAGGATCTTTTCAGTCTGCTGCTGATCTTTAAGAGCTGGCAGAGTGAGGAGGTCATCCTCATAAATTTCAGTCTGTGCCATCGTCCTTTACATTCTCAAATGATTATTTCAAGGCCGGGTTCTCAAATGAATTCACTGGCACGCTAAGAGCCAAATCTCAAGTGTTATTGAGTAACCACTGTTCCATGGAATTGCTGTCAGGGTCTGTTGGGACCATCAAGTCCAGTACTCAGAAAGGCACTGTCTGATTATTTTCAGAATACAGATACTGCTGTGGTCAAAAAATCCACAGGTTGCTCCGAAAGTAATGCCTTCTATTTATTTCCACGGAAATGACAACAGATACAAAGAGAAAAAGAACA